TGAATAAAAGTTATCTTCTAATACCAAATGGCATCAGGTCAATAATTATATTTGGTCCAGGAGAATACTAGTGTAAATATTTTGCTAATAGCAGCAAGCTTGTTAAGTTTTCTTTGTTCTTCTAATCATAAGTATCAAAACAGATGCAAAGAAGAGTAAACTTGCACTGTTTTAAATTCATTACTGAAGGAAACATTTTAACTTAATGGCCATTATCTCAATACAATTCTTCTAAACTTGGGCTATTACTATGCAGTACAACTACTAGATATGTCAGCCATATAAATGCCTTTATTTCAAAAAAGACCTATACATTTGGCATCTCTAAGAGCATTATGACATAATCTTTACTATTCATTTATTTGAAATCTGAACAAAGATAACAATAGCCATTGTTTCTTCCAAGAAACAGTTTCAGCCTTCAAGATTAGTTTTGGCTTGTTTTGCAGATTCCATGACACCTGGCAGACATACTAAAGTATTCTGTGCTGTTTTTTTTCTACATGCTGCAAAAATGTAGTTTTTTCCCCTTTTCAATATTTTATCTTTACCAGTGTAATAGTCATAGTTTATAATTTTTCCCTCACTTTCTTGATCACTTTTTGAAGAAAACTTCTTTGTACAGTGTTAGATTTTTGATCCCATTCTTCAGCTAGATCTAAAGTATGTGTATCACTTTTGTTTTCATATTCAGGTTTGTTTTCATTGGTGTTGGGGGTCCATCAACATCTTTCATAATATCTCAGCATCTTTGGGGGGAGGGGGAGACATTTGGATTATAAGCTTTTAGTTGGATAACTTGACCTTGAGCCATTTTAGAAAGTAGAAATATGGAAAGAAAAATAAAACCTAAATAGGCAGAAAAAATCTGTCAGATTAAATATAAAATAAAATCCTTTAATAAGTTTTATTAATAAAATTACATTTATGGTTTTCACAGGTTATAAAACAAATGCTTTTCACCCCCCTTTAAAACAAGATTGATAGAAAAATATTTCGGTATGCTAGAGAATTATTTTAAAATCTAGCTGCATGCACAGTCAAGCATCGAACATGCAAGTGTCCAGATTGAACGCATCCCAGATATGGTAAATAATCAAAGAAAAAATTGTTTGCAAAAAGTCAAACATACATTGCTGTTAGTAATAAAATTACATTAAGTCAAATCATTCAGAAGCTATATAGCACAAATTTGACTGGAAAAACTGTATACCAGCATGAAATAGAGAAAATGCAAGTACACTATCCATGATACTCTATAGATTTTTTCCCCCTCAGATAATATGCATAAATTTTGATATAAAGTTAAAAATAATGTAATTTTTCGAAAGATAATAATAATATGAGAATTATTAAAAGTGAAAAATGGTTATCCATTTAAAAAAAATTAATTTTCAATTGAATAATTTCATTGATAACATGTAATAGAAACTAAAGAAAATCAAAAAATAAAGTTTTTATAAAATTAGCTTTTGTTTGAATCGCATGAAAGAAGATTAATTTACTGCATAATTTAATGGAAACAATTAAATATATATATATATATATATGTATATATATATATATACAGTTAAAAGTCGTTAATCCGGAATCGTCGGGACTTCGGCGATTCCGGATTATCGATTTTTCCGGATTATAGATCATCAGTTTAAATCTGGTAAGATGGACATGCAGAAATTACAAAATTAAAAATATGAAACCGTTAATTTATGAAATAAAGAACAATTATGATCTAAAGGGTATCAAAAATTTACAAAAAAGCTTAATATTATTTGTTTACTTTATTAAACATTTCTTTCAATGTAAGTTGTTTAAGTTGCTTCCTTTCATGTGATAATACTTTCTCTTTAATTCTATTAAACAGACATAATTTCTTGTTTAGTTACAAAGTTCCGCTGTTCAAGTCCTATAATTGCTTTAAATCATATCAAAGACGGAGTACATGACATGAAATACTACATTTAGTAAGGAATTATAAGCCAAATAAAATAAAAACATCTGCCGTGAAGATAAGGATAGTGCTGACAGATCAACTTCCAATTCATTACGTGCCACGCCCCCCCCCTTATTGAACTTAGCAATAAGTTGCTAACAAGTTCACTAGGTTCCTCGACATTTACTTTAGACAAAAAGAGTGAGGAACTCTACAAGTTAATAGAGTATAGTAATTAGTCTCAAATTGATGAATCAGTCAGACTCTCAGATGAAAGTAAAAAGTATAAAAGAAGGAAATCAGATCAGATATGTTTCATTTTAAAAATAAAAGCCTATTCCTGTGTGTTAAAATTCATTTAAATATAATTATGCTCTTCTGTTTACAATAAAAGTATTCATTTATCAGATATAGAGTATGGATTTTGTGTGGATCACAATTAATAATAATTTATAGGTTTCAGGTTTTAAAAATTCCGTTCATTAAACATCACCTGATTCTCTGATTTAAAAGTAAAAGAGAAGCATATTTTAGCTTAACACTTTGTGGGCCGCGCATTTATCGAAGCGCCATTACGCTGCCGCCAGTTCATGCCGGTTCTACTGCTTGCCAATGGTGATATTTACGCAATTTTTTGAAACATAAGTAGTTGGTATATAATTATTATTAAAGAAAGCACTAAAATAACTGTTACACTATTTTTATTCCTATTATAGTTTTTAATTAGTACTAAAATGTTTTATTTAAAAAATTTAACTCCTAGGATCCATAGTTCTTTTTAGTATCATAATTCTGAAAAGATTTTCCAACATGCAGAGAAACGTTGCAGGAAGAACACATGTATGCAGTGTAACTTCTTTTCTTGGTGGCAGTGCAGACTTTACAGGCTCTTTGCGGGTTTTGAATTCTCCCATTATCACTAATACTATGTTTTCTCATGTCCGTAGTAAGTCTGCCTGGTGGATCAAACCTTGGCGATCTTTTATCAAATTGAGCAACCGACCGATCTTGATTGTTGCTCCTCTTCATTCCCATTAATCTATGCTAGTGCAAGGTTTAGTAAAAATTGTTTGAATCTAATAGGATTTTCAGAATTTTTTATGTATATCTGGAACGCCTTTGAGTAATGCACAGTTTATGAGATATAAAACCCCTTTTTTTTTTTTTGGTCCATTTTTTTGTTTGTTTGTAAGTTTGTTTCATGATAGTATGGAATAACAGCGTGATCAACACCTTTCATAAACTTATTATACTCTTGTATGCAAATTGGTTTAATGCACTTCTTTTATTCTTGTTACTCACACATTTGACCATGTATGCTGAATGTAGCGTAGAAATCATCATTATCAATTTTTTGGCCGAATTCCATTTTGTACCATAATTTTTTCCCCTTTTCTACGAAATTCCATTGACTTATTTTTCAATGTAGCAGATTTTAAACAATTTGGCACTCCTCTGTTTACTCTAATTGTGCCACACATGTTTGTTTTATGCTTTAGTAACTCCTCTGCAACCTTTACACTATTGTAATAGTTGTCCATATATACATCGTGCCATGAATTTAAATATGGCGATAGCATGGATAATATTGTCGCAATTAGTGATTTTTCTTGCGCGCAATATATTTCTAAATTGCATATATAACCAGATGTCGCCTCGTACACCATACGGACTAAAATTCCATATTTTATAATTTTTGCAGGATTATATGTACGAAAAGATAGCCTGCCCCTCCATGGAATGACACCTTCATCCGGCGATAATTCTTTCTCGGGTTTATAATTTTTTTGAAACTTTTCTACCAGGTATGAGTAACCTGGTTTTATTTTATCAAGCCTTTCTTGGCAATGCTCATTATTACTGAAGTGCCAATACTTCCGCAACTGCCGAAATCGGTTCCTTGGCATAAGTATTCTTACTATTCTCATTAGGATAACAAGCCCCAAAAGTTTTTTCATTTCTACAACATTTGTATCAATCCAAACTTTATTCTTTGTTGATGCATTGTTGTTATCATTATTCTGCTGATTATGATATAAGTTTGTTTGTGTGGCAAACAAATTAAATAAATCGTCCCCATTGAACCATTCCACATTTGATAATATATCTGGTGTGTATGGTACCTGTAACCCAAACCGTTCCAGGCAAGCATGAAAGTTAGCTTTAAAATTAACTTCTGACCAATCATTTGCCACAGAATTCTCTTCATCACTTTCAGATTCACTAATTATTGGTCTTCCCTTATTTTTGAATCGTCTCACAGTTATATCGCTCCCACTGTCCGAATCACTTTCACTATCAGAGCAATTATCCTCTTCTGATAACAGATCAGCATTATATTTCCTCATCGAAGAGCATTTTGAAAGGATATCTTTAAATCTTAACGTAAGTTTCCGATATTTGAAGGCAGCGAAGACAGTCTCAAACTAACAAAACAAGCGTCCACGAAAAAGATTTCAATAATAGACAGTCTGGTGAATTGGGAGAGGAAAACAGTTGAAACCAATGTTTCCTGATCGTCCAAATGTTTTTGCTATAGTATGTCTAATGTATACAAACGTCGATCTGAAGCATCGTCATTGGTGAAAATAAGTCACATGTACGTGACAGCGGCCGATAACTGTTGGTGAGTAAAAGTCACACCAGCGTGACAGCGGCCGATAACTGTTGGCGAGCAAAAGTCACGCCAGCGCGACAGTGGGCGATAACTGTTGGCGAGCAAAAGTCACGCCATCGTGACAGAAGCCTGCAAAGTGTTAACATTCATCAAGAGGTATTTGAATGGGAAGCTGCATAAAATATTATAACTTTTAAATGTCTTTTTCTGTCGTGTGTTAATCTAGGCAGGCTTTTATGAAGAATTTTGACTTTTTTTTATGTGTGATCACTAATGGTACATCATCAGAGAAGAAAATGCTGTGGAAAATTTTGTACATAAATATTTTTGTAGCATTTAAAGCTACGAGTGTATTTTGCTAATACAGATAATTAAATTACATTGAAATAAAATCACAGTATTTTGCTATTTCCTGTGCTTTTTGTTTTGCAATATTTTACTCAATTATAGGTTTGAAGCAAGCTTTGGCTACTGTGAATGATTACAATCCACTTATGAAAGATTTCCCATTGAATGATTTACTGTCTGCAACTGAATTAGACAAGATTAGAACTGCATTAGGAGCAATATTCTTTCATTTGAGAAAAATCCGTAGTACTAAGTACCCCATACAGAGAGCTTTACGTTTGGTTGAAGCAATATCACGGGACTTGAAATCGCAGTTGTTGAAGGTATCCAGTGTTAATTCAGTACTTTTTTATACATATTATACTTTCATACTTTATATTTATGTTACATAGATTTTGATATGTTTACTTTTTATCTGAATATATATATATATATATATATATATATATATATGTTGTTTGCATAGGTTCTAGGAACTAGAAGATTAATGCATATTCCTTTTGAGGAGTTTGAAAAAGTGAGTTTAAATTTACCTTTGTATTTTAATTTATCTTTTGTATTTTTACAAATTATGGATATGTCAAGATCTCTTTGATAAATGTACCAGATGAGCAGGAAGAAATGTATACTTTGTTAGAGTAAATAATAGCACACAGGAAAATAAACAGCTGTAAAAAGCTCTCAACGAGAACAGAGTTGAAATTATCCTAAACTCGCTCGCATGCAAATGTCTTAAATCACAAATGTTATTCACAGAATAAACTTTAAATTTTTAATCTCTGTACAATAACTCAGTATAGTTACACAATTTCAAACTCTAGTCGTATAACAGTAATCTGAAATGACTTCCACAGCTCATCACAGTCTGCCTGGTCTCATAGCTCATCACAGTCTGCCAATCATAAGGTTGCCTGGTCTTTTGGGAGATTTGGGGAGGGGGAATTGCTATTAGGTTTTTGAAAGTGCATTTTCTGGAAACTTCTGGATAGTTATCAAGTTGGCAGTATTTGCCAAATGCTGTCAGCTTAACAATAGAAATGGTTCCCGAGGCCTGTAAGGAGAGTTTCTGCTTGTATATTGACATTTAATTTAACTATTTTCACAATTTAAATACTAATCATTTTAGAATTACAAGATCTATAATGCTATACAGGAAAGGAACATTTATAAACACAATCTGTGCACGTGAATATGATTAAACAAACATACATTATAGTGTTCTTCCCCTTTAATTCTACTAAACTAAGTGTTCAGGAACTTTGTGAACTACCAAATGAATAATTGCTTAAGTCCAAGAACAGAAATGTAAACTCAAGAAGGGTTAATTACCCTCTATTTGATCCAAATAAAAATATGCAGTCAGCCCCTTTCTCAGAGCGTACACCAAAGCCTCCACTTTGTCTTAACTTAAAAATGTAAGCAATAAGAACTATCTAATGAAAAAGTAAAGAGATTTAGCTGAAGCTACCACAAATTCTAACCTAGTTGGCCCGTCACATTAAACTAGCCAGCGAAGCTATCAAAGGCACTTAATACGGCCTAGCTTAGTAACAGTTAGAGAGATGTAGTCAAAAGGCAAACATGCCCTGTTCAGGAATCCTGTCTCTCTCGAAGTCAGTGGAACTTAAATACTTTCTTCTTCTCATTTGCATTTAACACAGTTCTAAAAACTTATTCTGGTAAGGAATTGTGAGCTGAAGCTAAAAGAGATAGGAAAGGTTTATAAACTTAAAATAACTGTTATAAAATTAGGATATACCTTACAACATGCTAAAATTATTGTATATAAAATGTACTAAATAGTCAAATAAATGAAAACAATTTGTAACATTGTAAAAATGGAAAAAGAAAATTAAAACATAATCAAATAAAAGCAAATATTTACATAACTTTACAATAATATACATGTGCATGCAGGTTTATAGTGGATTAAATGCATACCATAACTGATAAAAGTTTGATGAAATTTGTTTTTTGAAAAAAAGTAACTTTTCACTAAAAGTACTCGTACAGCTGTTCTCAGTATGACAGAGCACAATCAGTAGTTACCATTTCAAACTACTAAGAACATTAAACCCAAAGGAATGCAAAGAGGCTCAACTGCATAAGCTCGCATGCTGATCTCTCAATATTCTGAATTTTCAGTACTCTGAGCATAACATAACTCATATGCTCTTCAGTTATATATAGTCTCCTCTGTCTGCCAGAGAAATTTCTATTAGCTTCGATTTCTTGAAGTTTTCTAAAGGCATATGCTGCTACAGCTACATAGGGCCAGATGTGGTTAAAGTTACATAAGGCTGAATGCACACACAAGGATTGGACAACAGTTACACAGGGATTGGATCAAAATGTCATCAAGTTTGGTGACTTTTGGAAATTTGTAGTCAAATGTGGTAATTAAAAATTAGCCACTAAAATCATTGTTAGTTTGGCGCTAAATCACCAAATTGGCAATATAGCCATTTATCTCAATGTAAAGGGACTGATCTCTGTAATCTGTTATTTTTCCAGCGATGCTTTACATTCTAAAGACTTTTGTGTTATGTTATACAAGAGGTACTACAATACATACAATTTTATTAAAATTATTTACATATATAAAATTTGTAACATTGCCCTCTTCCCAATGATGAATAATTATAAAGATCCAGGATAGTCAATTAAGATCAATAGTCATAAAGATTGGTAACTATTGACATGGTCTTATACCAGGGATGGGCAAACTACAGCCCACTGGAAGACTCTATCCGTCCTGCGGATAGAATTTCAATTTGCCGGTCCGAAGGCAAATTAAAAGAACTATATATTTATATGTTATATATCTATCTCCTTTTCTATTTTGTTTAAATATTACTTTTTTTCTTCCTTTTTTTCAAAGGACTGACGATCTTTGTACTTTCTCTATTTTTGTTTTACAAAACATAAATTGGCGGAAATAGCAAGTACAGACAGCTTTCAATCGGTAAAGTGTTAAAAAGCAGAAGTTCTTTGTTAGTTATAGCTGTAGATTGGCACCAAGAATCGTTCTAATATAAGTGAATTAGACCTCACATGTGGCAGACTGTGCATTTTAAGCTTCTGGCTTATTTTTTTTTTTTTTTTTTTTTTTTTTTTTTCACAAGTTCTAATATTATTGATTGCATATGGAAAGATTGCAGAAAAAATATAGCATCATTGTGAATAGTGGTGAAATTATTAAAAAAAGTATAGTGTAGCTAGTGCTTGTTTGAGTTATTCATAAAATAGTTCAACCCCAAAATGGCTACTAAAAACCTTAAAGTTGATTTAGAATGCCGTGCTTTTAATGATAAATAGACCTGGAAATATATTTTTACAGTTGTAAAAGATAAACCAGTGTGTCTCATCTGCAGTGAAGCTGTAGCAGTCTTCAAAGAATACCATGTTTCTCGTCATTTCACATCTAAGTATAAGAATTCCAATTACGAAGCAATGTCTGAATATGAAAGAAAACAAAATGCAGAAAGTCTTTGAAAAAAAATTATCAGGCTGACAAAATTTTTTCAAGAAGGTAGACAGTAGCAAGAAGCAGCTACACATGCAAGTTACATTATAGCATACAGTATTGTTAAAAATAATAAAGCTCTAAGTGATGGGGAGTTCGTTAAACAATGCATGCTCCAAGTTTGTGATGTTTTATGTCCAGACAAGAAAAATTATTTTGAGATTGTAAGCTTATCTTGAAAAACGGTGACCTTCTAGAATCGAAGACATCGATAAAAATTTGACATTGAAATTACAGTCAAAGATTGGCCAGTTTAAATTTTGCTCCATAGCTATGGATGAAAGCACTGATATAAATGATATTGCTCAGTTAGTATTATTTATAAGAGATGTTGATGAGAACTTTGACATTACCAAGGAACTGCAGTGCATGCATTCTTTAAAGGGAGCTACAACGGGATGTGATATTTCTAGTGATTTTCAGGAAGAGCTTTTAACTATGAAAGTGCCTATAACAAATATATGTAATATTATGATCAATGGAGCACCAAATATGACAGGTAAAAAATCTGGATTTCTTGGACTCTTAAATCAAAACTATCCCAGAAACAATGTTGTTTTTCTACATTGTGCTATACATCAAGATGCTCTGTGTAAATCTGCATTGAATATAAAATCCGTGCTTGATGCAGTCGTGAAGCTTGTAAATACTATTCAATCTCGTGGGCTTTGAGATTTTCTTCAGTCCGTCCAATACGAATACTCTGATGTACTGTATTACACGGAAGTAAGGTGGGTTACTGCAGGATGTGTTTTCAAGTGAGTTTTGCAGCTGAAAGATGACATTGTGGCGTTCTTCCCTGAGAAACAGTGTTCTGCGGAGTGCGAAATGGTAGAAGATACGGATTGGCTTTCAGACTGTATTTTTTACAGATCTTCTTTGTCATATGAGCAACTTGAATGTCAAGATGCAAAGGAAAAATCAATTTATTGACACTATATGGGCCAATCTCAAAGCTTTTAAACTAAAACTTAATCTGTTTGCTGTGCAGCTAGCTAAGAACGATTTGCCTCATTTCCTGAGGTTATTCAATACTCTCAGTAAATGAAGAGAAGCTTAAGAATTATGAAAGATGGCTTGAAAAAACTGCATTTTGAGTTCAAACACAGATTTCAAGATTTCAGTGCCATTCAGACGTAACTAGATATTTTCACCATGCCTTTTAATGTAAGGTCAGATTTGGAGCTTGAATTAATTGATTTGCAATCTAACAATCATCTCAAGCAGTTGTTTGTGAATATGCCAAAGCTAGAGTTTTACAAATGATTATCGAAAGTAAGTTTCCCAAATTAAATATATCACGCCCAGAAAATCAGTGCTATGTTCGTTTCATCTTATATGTGTGAACAAGTGTTTTCAACAGTGAAAGAATTATTTCAGAAGTAGAGTGATAGATGAGCATTTAGCCTCATTTCTTAGAATCAGTACATCTTACTCACCAATTGTAATGAACTAAGGAATGAACTTTATTGTAATGAACTTTTAAAAATGAAATCGCAATTTCATTTATCTTATTAACATATTTAAATTATAATATTTGTATATTGTTTTTAAAATTAAAAAAAATTTATCTTGGTCCGCCAAACTTTTTTTTTTCTGATTTTGGGCCTGCAACCGAAAAAGTTTACCCATCCCTGTCTTATACCATTTCCAATTATAAATACGCTATGTACTAAGGCCATAGTAAGGAGCTAATCTGTCGTAATGAACGACTTTAGGCTTGGAGTTCGATGACTTACAGATCCGAACTACAACATCATTCAGCCTGTTTAGGACTGTGTAGGGACCATCCCAAGGTGACTGTAGTTTAAGAGAGAATCCTTTCTATGTAATTGGATTCCATAACCACACTTTGTTACCTTCATTGAATTGATGTCTTGTAGCTCTCGTGTCGTATTGGGGTCTTCATCTTCACCATTGCCAATATGACTTACTCTTGTGCAAAATTATGCATCTGTTCAAACCGTGCTGTAGATCTTGGATGTACTCCTCAGGTGTGAAAGTGCATCTTGAGGGTACCCAAACATGAGATCATAAGGCAGATTAATTAAGGTTACAACTGAAGAGTATCTTTAATGAGTTATAGCCAGCAGTCTCGTGGACAGTACTATGATAGGCCAGTAAAACCAGTGGTAACATCTGGTCCGAGCCCTGTGGGTTTGTGGAAATTATCAACAAGATATTTTTAAGGATAGTTTGGTTAAACCTCTCTACCATTTCGCCTGACTGATGTAAATTTGTGGTTTGGGTTTTGCAGATGCCGAGTAGCTTGCAGAATTTGATAATTACATAATAATTAAAATTTCTTCCTTTGATTGGAATGTAACTGATGTTTCACTCTGAACCTAGAACTCCAGTCTTTATCATTGCTTCTGTTGCCATAACAGCATCTTGATCAAGAATAGAATACCATTCATCCCACTTAGTGATGTATCGTTTCAGCTTCCTTCATCTACATTTCTTCAGTTCTTTATGACCTGCACAGACATTGCAAGACTGGTGCCACTTTTGCACATCATCTCTTCTGTTACTCCAGTAGAAGTGCTCTCAAACTCCATGCAAAGTGTTTGTTATTCCAAAATGGTTTCCTGTTGGACTGCTATGTAATTCTTTAAGGATGTCTGAGATCTTGGAAATATTAGCTGCCACTGTAGCGACTTTCCATCATCCAATTCAAACTTCTGGTTCAAGACACCGCTTTGAACATGGTGCGAGTCCCGGAGAGCCCAGTATTGTTTTGTTGTTATTATATGTACAAAATTCATAACATTGGCACTTTGCAAGGACTGCACATCCTGTGCAGTACTATCCCTGTACATGAAAGTGTACTTAAACTAAGAGAAAGCAATTCAGTTCTTAACCGCTTGCCTGATTATCCCGATTATCTCTGGTTCGTATATACTGCAGTTAATTGTTATCCCATGGTGAATAACAATTAACTGCAGTATATACGAACCAGAGAGGGTGAAGCAGAGTTTGTTAGTACGATTTGTTTTATCACGGTTTTACTCATCCTGGAGGAAATGAAAGGACGTATTCAGCTTTGATTGGCAATTTTCCAAATTTTGTTGGTTGCACGGTTCTTTTGGAGGGACTGGTCACATGTTTCCCTATTATATAGTATATGTCGCCTTGTGGATTGGTAATTATAAAAAAGGATACATGCATTGGAAAAAAAAAAAAAAAATAGAGGCGATGATGTAAAATAGCAACAGCGATGATTTTTCAGGTAGTGATTTTAAAGAGATGGGGGAAAAAAATCAAATCCAATGAGACAGTGTACTCTGGGCTCCCGTGAAAGAGATTCCAGCGGTAAAACTTTTTTTCGTTTGCCCGAGATAACTCGGGATAGTAAACTAATATTAAAACTAAATGCTTTTACACAGTGGCGTAGCGAGGGATGGCAAGGAGGTGTATGATGTCCCGAGCACCGCTTGTAGAGGGGCACCAAATGGTCTACAAACAAGATTTTCATCATATCACTGTGTTTTTTTTCGAGGAGGGGTGCACCAAAAAGGTATTTTGCTCCGGGTGCCAGTTATGCTCGTTGCTCCACTGCTTTTACGCATTCAAAAAATTAAAAATTCAACTTAAAACCTACATATTTTGATTTGTTTGTTTCGTTGTATTTAATAATAAAATAAAAAAATGTGATTATTTTTATCAATTTTTTTCAAAAAATTTTGTAAGGGAAGCAGTTAAGCAATAATTGCAATAAATGACATAAAACAAATCAAATGCTAAATTAATAAAATATAAGTTTACAAATTTAGAAACAAATATGCCTACATCTTAGTATACTATTTACGTTATACACTGCTCGACATTGAAAATGAAAAGCCAAGAAGAGGGGGTCAGAAAGTGATGAAATTTGGAAAAAAGACAGAGACAGCAAGCAGCAATAAGTGATCTTTATTTCAAAATGATTAGTCAGAATACAGAGCGAGAACGGCGTCGGCCAGTAGGATGTAGGACCACCATGGAACAGCAATGCACGAAGAAACACGTCTAGGCATAGAGTCAATAAGAGTGTGGATGGTGTCCTGAGAGATGGCTCTCCATTCCCTTTCAACCATTTACCACAGTTTGTCTTCGGAACGAGGGCAGAGTCTGCAAACGGCGTCCAATCACATCCCACACATGTTCTATTGATGAAAGATCAGGAGAGTATGGTGGCCAGGGAAGCATCTGTATACCTTGCAGAGCATGTTGGCAGATGCAAGCACTGTGTGGTTGGGTGTTATCCTGCTGAAAATGTGCATTAGTCAGCCCCTGAAGGTAGGGGATTGCCACCGGCCGCAGTACATTATCCAAGTACGGTTGGGCCGTCATAGTGCCCTGAATACGAACTACAGGTAACCTGGAATCGTAGGCAATAGCGCCCTAAACCATTATGCCATGTTGTTGCGTGGTGGGGTGTTACACAGTTACTGCTGGATTAGATCTGTCTCTACGTAGACGCCACACACGTATGCGGCGACTGTCACCGGATAAACAGAAGCGTGACTCATCTGAGAACATGACGTTTTGCCATTCTGTCATCCACATCGCTCCAGTCTGGCACCATTTTGAATGTTGGCGTCTATGCTGTGGGGTCAATGGCAGTCTTCTTAATGCCGTGAGTGCAGGCCACGTTCAACCAATCGACGGGAAATGGTTCTGGTCGACACGGGAACATCCAGGGTATCTTGCACATGCTGCAGAATCACGGTTGCAAGTGACTTGCGGGACCCTCCTTCTTCCCACATTTCCTTGTTCCAACCATGTTCGCCATAGTCTGCACCATGCTCACATCCATTTTGGTATCAGCTGATTTGACGTAAGGACCAACCCGCCCTTCTCAGTCCGATCACCTACCCCTCGTAAAATCGTCTGTCTGCTGGAAATGCCTTCGTTGATGGTGGCCTGACATTCTCTCCTATTACACATATCCTTCGGGACAAAAACCAACTTTCTTTGGTAATTCGTCTGGCAGAAATAACTATTCGAATATTGCCCATTCTGCACGTTTGTTTCCTTATATCTTGCTTCACGTGCATTGGAGAGCTGCGCATTTCACATCATTCGCATAACTCGGTGATGTATGTCTACTCTAAAATTTGCATAAATTTTTTATCACTCCTTGGTGTTGCATTTTCAATGTCGAGCACTGTATACACTACATACTATGTACTGTGGCCACAGTAAGTGGCTAGCATGTTGTAATGACCTACTTTAGGCTTAGAATTTGATGACTTGAGATCTGAACTACAACATTGTTCAACCTATTTAGGACTGTGTAAGGATTGTTCTGGATGATAGTTTAGGAGAAAGTCCTTTCTATTGAATCAGACTCCATAACCACACCTTGTCACCTATGTTGAATCCATGTTCTGTGACTCTTATGCCATATAAGGTCTTCGTCGTCACCATCCCAAGTTGACTGCTGTTGTGAAAATTAAGCATCACTTCAAACCGTGGTTGAAGCTCCTTAGGGGATGAAGGTGCATCCAGAGGGCAAACAAACAGCAGATCACAAGGCAGATGAAGGTCATGATAAAGAGCGTCTGGGATAGGGAGTATCTGGTTGTTTCATGGGCACCGTTACAGTAGGCCAGTAAGAACTGAGGTAGGTTTTAGTTCCAGCTCTCTTGGTTTCTGGAAATCATGAGCAAGGTGTTATTAAGGATGGTTCAGTTAAATCTCTCTGACCTGCTTCAGTCTTTTCTTGAACTGACTTGACGGCCCCTTCCATCTTTTCTTGTCCCACTTTTATCTCTTTTTGGAATGTAACAAAGATTGTCTCTAACTGTCTTAGTTGCTCATCCATTGTTCTTATCACAGACATTCAATCCCATTTCTGACAGCAAAAAATTGTTGCATGTATATGGGATCATAGTGGTTTGAATGCATATATAACCGATAATGGTTTGATTAAATTTATTTTACAAAAAAAAAAAAAAAAAAAAAACATTTTGCAGTTCTGGAATATTTTACAAAAATTCTCGTATAGCTCTTCTCAGTATGATAGAGCATGATCAATAGTTACTAATTCAAACTACCAAGAGCTTAGAAAATAAGGGAATGCAAGGAGTCTCAAATATATAAGCTTACACAGTGATCTCCTGAATCTGAAATGCTCTATTGTAAAGAACATTAAAAATTTGTTATTTAATTAATTTTAGGAATTTAAATATTATTTTGTTAATTAACTATGCGTAACTGCTGTTTATTTCTGCATTTTACATTCCATCGTACATTGTTATTATGAAAATTACCTACTGTGCTTTAACACCTCATAAAATTAAGATTATCAAATCTATTTTTTATCCTGAATGTATAAAAATAAATGATATAAATCAGTGTTAATGAAGTAATTTGCCAGTACAAAGTTTAGTAACAAAATTAAGACCAAATCTCTTCAGTTAATTTGAATTGAGCATATTTTCTTTCTTTTTTAATAGGTTTTAAATGCATGTTTTGAAGTTTTTAGCACTTGGGATGATGAGTATGATAAACTACAAGGGTTATTACGAGATATTGTGAAAAAGAAGAGGGATGAGCATTTGAAAATGATATGGCGTGTGAGTCCAGAACATAAAAAGTTGCAAAGCAGAATGGAGCAAATGAGAAAGTATGTCTTATATATCTTAGTGTTATTAGTAATTAATTGTATTTTATAATATAATATCATGCATGAAAAGTAACAAATTTATTGTGCATTTATTGTACTAAAAGCTGTTTATTCTGCTGTAAAAAATTGTTTGCGCTTATCATTATGATTGTTATAAGACAAACAATGAAATATCTTTTATTAATTAGAATTAAGAACATTGGAGCCTTTTATAATTTTAGTATTTTGTATAATAATTTCATACTTTTTTTTTATTAGATTTAGGAGACAGCATGAACAGCTTCGCACTGTAATTGTTCGTGTTTTAAGACCTTCTGTAGTGCCTAGGCCTCAGCAATCAATTGGAACACCTGTAACTGAAGATTCATCTGAGTCAAAGACCGATTCTCTTGATGCTGCTGATGTTAATGCCATTGAGGTGCATTTTCTTTTTACTTTTGATTTTTTTAGCTTAAGGAGTGTTCTGTACCATAACTGTTGTTTATTGATGAAAAGTATATTCTAGGAAGTAAATCTGGCTTATGAAAATGTTAAAGAAGTAGATGGACTAGATTTATCAAAAGAAGGCACAGATGCATGGGAGGCATCTCTAAGAAGGTGTGTAGAGAGTTTTATTAATATGTAATTTATTTATGGCTAACAATAGCTACAGAATAATGTGTATATGTGATATATAGTAGTTAGTCCATTAAAATATTTTTTTTTAGAATTTTTTTTTTTTTTTTTTTTTTTTTTGTAAAAATGCAATTGAAAATTTTGTATAAATAAACTATATCTACCACTGAAATCACTAAAATGACAAAGTTATTTTACTTTTTAAAATCTTCCTATTCATGGCTGATGTTCTTTGCTTATGATGTTCAAAGTAAACAAACCATTTATGAGTTTTGTTTAAGTTAGAGTGCAGTGCTGAAAAAAAATTCATAATTAGCACATGCCACATTATCTAAAAACTATTTAACAACATAAATTCAAAATTAATATTAAAAGACAGCACAGTATGCAGGGGATTCTGTGAAAGCTTGCTTTTTTAGTCAGATTCATATTTTTCTTTCTGCACTATTTAATTTCATACTCCAGTTCGTGATCAAATAATTTAAACTTGATTTTGTTTAACAATGGTTGTAGTCACTTGTTACAGATCTCAGGATTCTCACCTCCATAAAACCTTGTTCACTCAAAATAATAATAAAAAGAAATATTTTAAACAATACAAATATTTTGAGGGAAAACGAAAACCTGTATGTCTGATATTTACGTTTTTATAGGCAGTAGATATTCAGTGAAATAATAATATTCCAGGGGTATGTAATTCCATATGTACTCAAACATATGTTTAATACATACATGCATAGCTTGGTTGTTGTCATGTGTGTATTAAAAAATATGGGAAAAAAAAAGCAATTGTACTGCATGTTGTAAGTGGTGATGTGAATAATCAGAAAGTATGATTAGTTTATTTTACTTGAATTGTATCTTGACATACATATAGCCTTTTTTTTTTTTTTTTTTTTTGAAATACATAATATATTATTGAAAGCTAATTTTAACCAAATTAAGTATTTCTAAGTTATGATATTCTCTTTCATTTTCATTCATCATTTGTATTTTTTGTATACCAGTTACATGCTTTGCAAGTGTTTGTCATTTCTACTGTTTACTTTGCTTAGCACAAAAATTCTTAATTATTATTTGAGTGAGTTATAGAATTTTTTTATAGCAAACATTAATTATAGTTTATTCAAACTATTTTTCTTTTGAATAAGGTTGTCACTTAAACGTATATGGTTGTAAATGTTTCAAAATTTTTTTTTTGCCTTGAAATTGAGTTTATTCAAAACCTAAGCCAGCCTATTGTGTTTTTTTTTGCTGAATATTACAGAAATGACTTTATCCAGTATTTATTGTTATTTTCAGAATAAGCCGAGTGTGTATCTGTGTAATAAGAAGCACAACTGTAGTTTGAGAATTTAATATTTTCAAAATTTCTAATATATATATATTTATACATATTTCCAGATATGAAGAAAGAATTGATAGGGTTGAAACACGTATCACAGCTAGACTTCGAGATCAGCTAGGCACAGCAAAAAATGCAAATGAAATGTTCCGCATATTTTCTCGATTCAATGCTTTATTTGTGAGACCTCATATTCGAGGGGCCATTCGGGAATATCAGACTCAGCTTATTCAGAGAGTAAAGGATGATATTGCTGCGCTTCATGAAAAATTCAAAGTCCAGTACCCACAAAGTAAAGCTTGCAGGATGAGCAGAGTTCGAGATTTGCCACCTGTTGCTGGTTCCATTATATGGGCTAAACAAGTATGAAACGAGTTTATTATTTTCTTTTAAAAGTTTATTCAAGTGCTATAAGAAGGTTTTGATGCTTTTTATTCTATATTATAAATATTAAATGTATTACTTCAACTTGTAGCAATATGTAAAGGAAATTTAAAATATTTTTTTCAATTGTCTTTATTGTGAAAAACTATTAATAGTGCACTAATGCATTACTATGTTTTTTAAAGCTCATCCTGTCTTGTTAGATGATTAAAATTCTCTCTTCTCTCTATATATATTTATTTATATAATTCAACATAGTATTAAATAAAGTAAATTATCTCCTAGGGAATACAAAGTGAAATTTAGTTTGCAAAAGTGTGCTATTGTGGTAAAAATTGGCAGAAAAGAATGCAATATGAAAGCTGAAGTGCACTGTGGAAAATTAAAGTATAACGACAGATATAAAATACAACTGATAGTTGATGAAAAATTATTAATAGAAATTTGTACAAAAGCATTAGTTAAAATACGATGTTTGGCAGTTGATTATTTGCAGAATCTTCAGTTAAAACCAAATTTATGGAAATTGGAAAATAGTGGAAAAATTAAGTTATATCTTGTAGGAAATTTTTTTCTTTAATATGGTGTATGGTCATGTCTGACAAATGTGCGTACCTCACATATTGATGTCATAGACTTCAGATTTTATGAAAGTGCAAATAACTCTTCTGAAAGTGCACTTTTCAGCTCCTAGAGTGGGTGGGTACGGAGAGGAATTTGACGTGCTATGATAGCTTTTGTTTGCAAGTATTCTGACACTACATAAGCTGGGTGCAGCTGAGCGTTGTTGTGCATTAGCAAAAATTGGGGATCTAAGACCTTTTTCCATATATCTCCGAGTAGGTATAGAACCCACTTAAAAGGCATGCAGCTAGGTGCGGCCATTTGTCATGATTCCTACCCAAACCATTAAACCGTGGTTGTGAAAACGGGATATCTCATGGACAGGGGAAGGCAAGTTGCATGCTTATTCCTCTCTTCAGATCAAAACATGTTTAGAATCACTGTTCAGACTATATCTGGACTCGTCAGTAAATGATACTTGGGCCCATTCATCTCAGTTTTATTGAACATAAAGATGACACCAATTTAAACGGGCCCTTCTGAAAGCTAAAGTGAGTGGGACACAAATTATTGGTTTTCTTACATGCAGTCTGACTTCGTTAAGCCTTCATGCAGCAGTAGAAAGGCTAATTCCAAGTCCTGTGGCAGCCTGAAGGTCTAAAACCAAATCTCGTGTAGTCGCTTCGTGATTTCTTCGAGCCAACTTGACAGGAAATGGTCTTTTGATGCAGTTGTTGCTCTTTGACCAGGCTATCTGTCGACTGATCCAGTGCTTAAAAAGCACATCCAAACTCTTGAATGTCACTTTGAAGGATCTTCAAATCAGTCAATCCTCTATTCTACTAATTATTTGCCACTTTTGATCTTCACTTAAATGATGCCTTTGATCCATAACTACTGAATACTCATCACTCTCAGAAACCACATTCACTTTAAAGCAGTGTTTCTCAACTGGATTTACTTTGAGGATCGGTAAAATATTTCGATATGTTCTCGCGGACTGGTAAGTTTAGTAATTCGACCCATTGGCACAATTTTTCCACATAAATAAATACTAAGCTAGTAAACTATTGTTATTGGAATGTAGTTGCTGTCGTAATATCGATTGTCGGCCGATGACACTTTGGATTTTGGACACATAGCTGGATATTTCGCGGACTGGCAAATATTTCTTGTGGACCGGTGGTTGAGAAGCACTACTTTAAACAACTCTACAGACCAGACTTCCAGCATACGTCCATTATGCACCACATTTGTCAATCACCGAATTTGCATATTTCTGGCACTAATGTATGCATGAAAGTGTAATGTTCAATTATATTTAATTAACATTGATAGTTACAGTATTGGGCATTGGTTGCAACATTAACTTAGTTACATTGCCCTTTAATTTAGATGACCAGTGTATAATGAAGTGCACATAGATGTAAGTTAAAATTAAGAATTAAAGGGCCATTGCTAATTTAAATTATAATTTACATAATTTTAATGTTTCTTACATATCCCCCCAGGTAGTCTGTATTTTGGGGTACCCCTTGGATTATTGCTAAATTGTTGTTACATTCATCACCAAGTTGTTGTTTTATTTATGGTTAATGAGTATCTTACAGTGTAGGTTGTGGAAACTCTATTATGACGTGATTGATTGTAATGTGTGATAGTGCTGAGTTTGAAATTTAGGAGAATATTTCTGAGGACTTATTTCTGTATTGGAGGTCAGTTAGGAAGTATGTTGCTTATTTTGTGCATTATACCATAAAATGGGTGCCAGTTGTAAGATTAACTTGAAGCTTCTGTACAATTTGGAATGAATGGGAAAGAGAGCATTAATTGGTATGTAAATGAAGGTTTAAATGGCATTGTTGACTTCTTAGTAAATCACACAATGACATTTAAGGATCCGGAAACTGGAGCTATTGAGAGTATGTGGGGTGTAATAAAAAGGAATTTAAAAAAAAAATGCCACCGAAAGTCTGGCACTATGGAGGATGTTTTTGAATGTTACCCTTTGTGAATTTATGTTGGTGATCGCAATATACAGATCCTAGTTCAGATAATTTTAAACAGTTTTTGGATGCAGTTAAGAAAATCTGTGTGCCGTACACCAGAAACACAGAAATTACGATAAATACGATAAGTCAATATTTCATTTTTGTACTGTGCAGATTAAATATAAATTATAATGTTAAATTATAAATAAAAAAAGTTAAATTATAATTTTTTTATGTTTTATTGCATTGGATGCCATTTCACTTGTAAAGAGGAAAGGGAAAAAAAAAAAAAAAAAAACACCACCAATTTTCGCCAAAGGGGACCTTGAAATATATTCTCCCCCAAGGCCAAAAGGTGTAGAAAAACAGAAGCCATTTTAAAGAAAAAGCGTTAATCAGTAGCAGATAAATAGAAATGTAAATCATAAAATTTTGACCTAAATAATTAAGTAAATGTATAATTTTTTAATATAAGATTTTTTTTTAAAAAATGTAGTGTTTAGAATTCCATTAAATTTTTCAGCATTGGAGTTCATAAAAGTCTTACTGTTTGAGTTGATATAATTGTAATTGTTTAGGGAAGGTTTTTGTTCTCACAGAGTATCATATCACAGAGTATCATTATCTCACAGACTGTAATCATAAATAAAAACTTTTGCATGATCATTATTTATTTTAATGAACTGTAATACATATAAAAATATTAATTTTATGTTCATAAATTATATTTTAATATCTTAAACATGATAGAAGTAATAGTGCAGAAATAACTAGTGTGTTTGTTTGGCACCAGTGGCCAAGGTTTGCTATGGTTACTTGAGAAGGTCTCCGTTCCTTACATAAGGTAACTGGCATTTGTGAACTACACTAATATGTTACATAACTTATATATTTATAATTTAAAAAAATTACACTCAATCATAAAAGGAGGGTCTTCAGCATTGTCTTATAAAGAGAGCAAAAGGAACAATTGTACAGAGGTAATAATAGGCCTGTATTTTGGAACTTGTACTCCCTCATCATATTTTATCCTTAACATACAATTATCCATAAATTTTATCATTCATTTACCATAATTTCATTAATTATTTGTGTTAATTTCACTTTTTAATTAGATTACTCAATAAATGTTATAATTATTCAATTTGAAAATTATTGATAGTTTTATATTCATTATAACAATATTCACTATTAAAATGTTAAATATTTTCTATATTATGTTCAAGAACACTATTTTACATCCATTTTCTGTGGTAGCATTTAAAATTATTTCACTTTTTTTTTTTTACATTCATTTCATTCTCAGAATAATTATAAAATTCTGAACATTAATTCAAACATTATAAAGTAATTAGAAAATAAAATCATTAATGACATTACAATTTTATATCTTCCTTGGGGGGAGTATTAAAATTCTTTACTTAATTAATTTAAAAGTAGTTATTTAAATATATATTTCTAATATCAAAAAAGTTTTAATCTAGCATTTTCCTAAAACAATGCTGTAATTTTAATTCTGTTTAAGAAGAAATAGTATTATGTATTTAAATTAAAAAAATAACATTAATTAATTAATAAATTATTTAATAAATTGTTATGAAAAATTTAAAACATACTCTCTCAGCAAAAATTGTAACAAAAAATGCACCAGCAAAATTAATAAATGCGAAACCCTTGAATGAAAATATCAGAATAATCGTGTTTTCATTTTTTGAACACTATGTTCCCCTCCTCAAAGCAATAAAATCAAATTGTAAAAATTTTAACTAAAACATTTCATACAAAATTTAAAATCCACCCCATCAGTGTTTTGTTTCATTGAAAAGACTGTAATTTGGGTTGATAAAAAATAATTAGGGATAAAACATCCAGAAGGCCGTAGAATGCAGGAATCAGAAATGAATGACAAGCATTTCTCACAGTTCAGCATGTGTGGAGTGAATTACACTTGATTGATGACTGTTAATTTTTGCTGTGTTAATTTGCAATGCAAAGATAAGTGTATCTCATATATGGTAGTTGAAAATCCTATTTATATAGACACAGACTGATGAATGGAATGCTAAATCATTTTGTAATTGATTTAAAAGTACTCATATTGATTTTGAAGTACTGTTTAACTGCAAAGCAGCAATTAAAGTAATTAAATCGTAGATGATCATACAATAATTTTTTCCCCCCTTAGACACTGGGCTAAACACCAGTGAGTAACTATGAATACAGAAATCATAAATAGGCATGGCACAAACTTGCATCAAAATTATAAATGCAGAAATGTAGCACTTTGATTATTAATGTAGAAATTAAAAATAGGCATGTCATAGACTAGTATCAAAATCTATTTCCTCATGACTAACTGTTGACTCATTGTAATGAAGCATACTTAGATGTAATGATGTTGTAGTAACAGTTGATGGCATAGAATGCTAAAATGTTGATTTTTAATGAAGATCTTGGCAGTCGAGGCAGATTAAATATTCATTTTTATTTCTATGAACATTGTGTAGCCACAAATAAATTGGCTCACTGATCATGCCTTTTCAGGAACAGCAGTCTGTCTAGGCTGAAGTGTAGAAAAACGAGTGACTTGTGTTCAGGATGAAAATGAGTTAGTTTTATTTTCAGTGGCTCTTTGGCTAATTATTATTGCTATAAAATTATTATTGGCTGTTTAAGTTTTAGTTCCATTTACATCAACAGCATTATGCAAGACTCCTAGGACATATATATATAACGCAAAATAAATTAAAACATTTGAAATTCATTCCTTGTTTAATTTAGAACAAATTGTGTGCAATTAAAAAAAAATAGTACAGTGAAAAGTTGCATGAATGGTTCAAAAGCAGTTTAAACCAAAAATAAAAAATAGTAATAGAAAAAGGAAAAAATGATTTATATCTTTCATCACATTGTCATCAGGGGTTGGGCAGCGAAAGATGTAAATACTGGGTGATCAAAAAGTCAGTATAAATTTGAAAACTTAATAAATCACGGAATAAGGTAGCTAGAGAGGTAAAAATTGACTCACATACTTAGAATGACATGGGGTTTTATTAGAAAAGCAATAATTTGATCAGAAAAGCAATAATTAGCATAACAAATTAAGACAAAGCAAAGATGATGTTCTTTACAGGAAATGCTCAATATGTTCACCATCATTCCTCAACAATAGCTGTAGTCGAGGAATAATGTTGTGAACACCACTGTAAAGCATGTCCGGAGTTAATGTCGGTCGATCACGATACACTTGCGACTTCAGGTAACCCCAAAGCCAATAATCGCACGGACTGAGGTCTGGGGACCTGGGAGGCCAAGAATGACGAAAGTGGCGGCTGAGCACACAATCATTACCAAACGACGTGCGCAAGAGATCTTTCACGCGTCCAGCAATATGGGGTGGAGCGCCATCCTGCATAAAAATCGGGACGATGCGATTCTGTAACATATCGGCGTACCTCTCACCCGTCATGGTAGCAGTTACAAAACCAGAATCACGCATTTCCTCAAAGAAAAAAGGACCGATAACAATAACTTTTTTTTTGGTTCTAATAAAACCCCATGTCATTCTAAGTATGTGTGTCAATTTTTACCTCTCTATCTACATTATTCCGTGATTTTATTAAGTTTTCAAATTTATACTGACTTTTTGATCCCCCGGTACATCAGCTTGTTTCTGAACTGATAAATATACAAATTGTAAATTAGAGTTTAATATCAGAAATTTAAACACTAGAACATTAATCAAAGTAATTCTTGCCTTTATCAGTCCAACTGCTATAGGCTGGAATATGTAATGCAAAAATTGGTTTAAACTTAGGAGATAATATAATCAATTAATCAATACGGTTTAGGAAATAAATTATTATATATATATAACATAGAAGAAAAAAAAAATTATTTCCTCAAAACTGTATTAGTAGAGCAGCAATGGTTTTGAAATTGAAAATAAGTTAATTTGATATAACTGTGGGATAAGACTTATACTAATCAAAACATATGTTAAATAATAATATTATTATCAAATTTTAAATTGATTAATAATGTGAAAACAAATAGATAAAACTTTTAATGCAACATTAAATGTTATATGGTAAAAAATAAATAAATTGTAAAAGGAAATAGAAATTGATTTACATAGATTATAAATGTGAAAAGCAACCATAATGCAAACCATGTACATCCCATTAAAAAACATGCATTCTATGACCAGTCTTATCTTATTAGTCACGTTGAATTAATTAATTTTCTGTTTCAAAGCAATTGTTGCTCTATTTTTACAGTTTTTTACAGTTTATGATTTTTACAGAGTTTACTAACTCTTTTTTTCCCCTATGTTTTTCTGTGTTTTTTTGTATCTATTTTTCATGCATTACTTTTCCATATGTAGGATTACTTCAGTACACAGGCTTTGTTTATTAGACTCAGTTTACTCAAAATTCTAGATTAAAAAAATTTTTTTTATGGTTTTTAATGTAGTTTTGTACTTTATATATCACCTTCTCCAGCATGTAGGGATTGTATTAATAAAAGCTTTTAATTTTCTGGTATTAAACTCTGATTAATAATTTGTGTCAGAAACAGGCTGATATATTTCCTTCTTTCATTGCAGCAACCTCCTGATGACGGTGCGATAGAGGATATAAATTACTTTTTCCTTTTCTTTTACTGTTTTCATATTTGGTTTAAAGCTTTTATGCACTTTTCATGCAATTTGTCACTGTGTTTCTGGTTTTGTTATTCTTGCATATAATTTGTCTGAATATAGGATGATTTTAAATTAATTTATTTTGCATTATTACCACCACTTGTTGCTGCTATCAACATGTAATTGAATTAGATTTTGAGGTGCTCTTTGTTTTGTATTTATTCATTTTATAAATATATCTGTCCTAAGGAGAAAAGTAAACATGATTTTCATCAGTTATTGTAGCTTGGAATTGGAATTAATTAAAAAAAAGTTTCAGTGGTTGTATGTAGTATTTAAGTTTGTAGTTGAAATAATGTTTTCATGTACTTTTGTTTGCTCTCACTGTTTGAATAACAAAGTTGAATGAGTGTAAAGGTATGTTTTGAATTGTGCATGGAGTATTTGTCTTTGAGCCAAGATAAACTGATTAAAAATTAAGTTTGATTTTAGGCTTTGTTTCCTGGACCAAATTGTTTCATTGATTCATTATGAAGAACCAAAAATCTATTTGATAATTGTGACACTTTTGCATTCAGTTTTTATATTTTTAGTGCCAAATTAAAACTACAAGCTTGAATTTTCTAATTTTTTGGGGGGGGGGGAGGGAGAGGGGCATCTATGCTAAAAGAAACGATTCTCTGTAATGCACATAATATCAACTCTATTTTCTTTTAAGTTTTTCTTGGAGTAGTGATATATGAATCAGTTAGAAGTATATGTCAAACAGATTATGTAATTACTTGATATTTTGAAGTTCCCAGTTTTGATAATTATTGAAATTTGTGAATTTTTAAGATTTATTATCTTAAATTTGGCAAGTTAAAGTGCCTTTTTCACATATTTTTGCGAAATGTATTGATTTTCTAAATAACTTTGTGTATATTTTGTTTTCTTTATAATAAACTTGTATATTTTCTTTTTAATAAACTATTTTATTACTAGAAATTGTTTACAATTAAAAAGTCTATTAAAATAATATGTGACAGGCTCATAAGGAAAAAGTTTCTAAAATCACATATATTTATGAGAATATTTTTTAAAATTAATGTTTGCTGTGTTTTTCAAATAGATTGATAGGCAGTTGTCAGTGTACATGAAAAGGGTAGAAGACGTTTTAGGCAAAGGATGGGAAAATCATGTTGAAGGGCAAAAGTTAAAAGCAGATGCGGATAGTTTTCGAGTAAAATTAAATACACAGGGCATTTTTGATGACTGGTCAAAAATGGTAAGTATAAATTTTTTTTGAAAAGCAATTATAATTTCAGTCATTTTCATTATTTTATATGTAAAAATATAATTTATTATTATATATTATTTTTTTAATAGTTCTGTAATAAAATATAAACTTATGGAGCTTATCAGTGTAACTTATTTATTTTTTTTTTTAGGTATTGTTTGTAAGTGTTTCTCTTTTTTTTCAAAAATTATTTGTAGATTAAAATATTTTCTTATTAATGGATTCTTTTTTTTATTTACCCTTCTGTGCTGTTACAGACTCTTGGCTAGCGTTTTTTTTTTTTTTTTTTTTTTTTTTTTTTTTTTTTTTTTTTTTTTGCTGCGATCTTTTGAAATGGGGTGAAACATTTTATGTAGACCGCTATCTTTACACACTGATCTTATAAAATAATATTTCTGAGAATTCAGTTAAATAATAGTGTTGAACATCACTGTATAACAATATTCTTTAAGGTGACTATTTATAATATAAAAATCTCTTGGAAACTTTGGTAGTTATTTTAGGGATTTTCACTCTCTCTCTCTCTCTCTCTCTATATATATATATATATAAAGACAATCAAATTAAATTTTAGATATATAAAAGAAGAGAATTCAATAATTGGATCTGCAACTCTGTGTTAAAAAAAGGGGGGGACTTCTGTGTGCGAGTTAAAATAACATGCCAAATAATTATTATTATTGGAGGTGCTAGAGGCAACAAGAATCTGTTTAAACTTTTGAAACTAGTTCAGCAAATTTATAAGTATTACTTTGATTCTTGTTGCCTTAGCACTTCCAATAGATCTTCTGTATTTTAATTTTAATTCCAATTTTATCCAGAGCTGACAAATGTTCAAAAAAACATTTTGTTTAACTGAAAACTAAGAATTATTTTTGTAGGATTGTCTATTAATGTGATGGAAGTTTACATTAATTCCATCACATTAATAGACATGTCATTATTAGACTTCCATCACATTAATAGACAATACCTTGATTCATAACATTTATGGTTGTGAATTGATTTCTGTATAAATGCAGTTGCAGTTTTTTTTTTTTTTTTCAGTATTATTGCATCATTTGTAAACTTTAACAAAGTTGCAAAAAACCTGTTTGAATAAATATAAAATTAAGCAGAAAAACTACTTTAAATTGTAGAAATATAAATTCTCTACAAGTTTTTTCCCTGACTAATTTTATATTTTACATTGCATATATCTCTTCTCTATCTTTTCTCTGTATTTTTAAATTTCAAATTTAAACATTTCACTAGTTAAAGATACTGAGAATTTTGAAAGCTTGAATTAAAGTTAATTTATATGAACTGTTCTAACTATCTTACTTTTAAATTTACATTATCCTGTTGGACAAAACTTTTAATTTTTTAAAATTTGCTATGAAAAATTATTTGGACTCTTGGTAATATTTGAGGAATTAAAGATAGGTTTTTCAGCTTTATATTTTTCTGTCACTTAGGTTGGTATATGTTAAATAATTTCTTTTTTATTGTAAAAGTAAGGTAACAAATATAGTATTATTTAGAAGAAATTTTTCACTAATGAAATTGGTCTAAAAAATGGAATTGTTTTCTCATTTCAGGTTAGTCAGCGTCAGTTAGGTGTCTCTGGGAGAATATTTACCATTGACAATATTCGATCTAGGGCTGGTAAAGGAAATCTTCTTAAATTGAGAATAAATTTTTTGCCTGAAATCATTACTCTTGCTAAAGAGGTACTCTTTCATACCAATATTTATTTTTGTACTTATAAATTTATTAATGTTTTGACAGCTTTGCAATGTAGGATAAATTTAACTTCTTTATTTCACTTTTTTAAACTGTTAAATTTTAATAAAAATATATTTTAAGGTGCGGAATTTGCGTTGGTTGGGATTCAGAGTACCATTGGCAATTATAAATAAAGCTCATCAAGCAAACCAACTCTATCCATTTGCTATATCTCTTATTGAAAGTGTCAGAACTTATGAAAGAACCTGTGAAAAGGTAATTTTATATTATTGGAAGTTTTTTAGGATTTTCGTATATATATATATACATATATATTAATGTTTTTGCCATGCATAGTGCATAGATTTTAATTTTATAATTTTTTATAAGTAGAAATTAAATCTTAAGAAAAATATATTTGCATTTTCTAATTATGAAGAATGAGAAAACATTTTAAGATGTTTTTACATATGCAACATATTTGCAAAGTTGCAAAATAATCAAATAAATATTATTTAAGCAATGGTATACCTAGTTTTATATAAAAAAATGGTTGTCCTGAGAATAAAAATAATTAAACTCTTATCATTATTAAAAAAATGCCAGGTCATTAGGTGACGAGTTCTCCAATACTTTTTAACAATTTAAATTAAGACTCAAATTTTTAAAATTTTTGCAATATTTTTACAATTCAAATTATTTAGTGCAGAACACACATCCAGATGAGCAGCAGCGATGTTTCGTCTGCTGTCACACAGAACACATTTAAGTTTAAAATGAAATAAATAGCGACTAAGACAATTGTATCCGCTCCCAAGTGGGGCCACAGTGGCAGCATGGCTTGAGTTGGAACACAAAACACACTCCATGCTCCTATGATTGTTTGAAATTTATTTATAATTTAGCAAAGGGAAGTAGAAGAGTAGAAAGTCTGTGTAAAACTTTTGGAGAAATCAGTTCCCTTTTTTGCGAAAAGGTCCGCCTTCTTGTTCACATATAGACTATATGATGCTATCCATTGGAAAGCAACCTTTCCCTGAATTCCTTCAAGTCTTTGCAACTCTGTATATGGGAACCCCCATTCTCCTGGTTGCTTGTCAAAGCCTGAAAAGCAGATATAGAGTCCAAAAAATTAAACCTTTTCAAGAGGGGAATGACAAACAGCAAGTTCAAGAGTCCCATCAGGGTAGTTGTGAAGCCATTTGTCAGAAGGAAAACAAGTATTAATAGTTTCTAAGCCAATAGCAGGAGTGGAATAGAACTAAGATCACATTTTCTCACATTTAGAACCAAGCTCAATCTGACATTGAGTAACATGTATTCCAGTTGACTCACAAAAGATAGTTGTTCATAAGGCACATCATTAATAATGTTATAATGAGTGTTCTTATGAACACATTGAATGAAGCCTCTCTGAATCTTTAGATTACGTTTTCTTCCATAGTCATGTCAGAAGTGATTATTTGGGAGTGTAATTAGTCTTAAAAAGAATAGCTCATTCTTCTAAATTAAATTAGTCATTGGCTGTTAGTCACAAAGTAATTGCATAGCAAATGCATGGGTAGTGTTAATTACCCCAATGATCATTCATAGCAATTGGTTTTGGAAGGTATCAAGTAGTTTCAAGACTTGATCCAAAGAAAAGATCAACACTTTACTGCAATAATTCAGAAATGGCTGAATATATAACTTGTAGCTTGTATTCAGGGTAGTTCTACTACACCTGCATTTAACTCCTGCCAACCTTTGAAGACTATTTAGACTATTCCTTGCCCTTGACATGGCATGCTCATCGTGCTTGGTCCATTTCCATTTGCTATCAAACATGCAACCCAAATAAGTTGAAACTTCATAATGTTTTAAATCTATAGCCCTATAAACAAGGTGATGGGTGAAGGGTTGTCTGTTTAAAGTAAAAAACTGGCAAGTAGTCTTTCTTAAATTTATGATCATATTTTCCCATACACCAGCAATCCATTCTTTCAAGAGTTGAAGTCAGAATGTTATTTAACCTAAGTGGTTCTTTTTCCGATGTGTAGTGCTAAATAGCAAGGTCATCCACAAAAAAGCGCCGTATCAAACAGCCCATCAGAGGCCAAGAATATTGTGTAACTGTTTAAGTCTTTAGGTGATGTATTCTTTTTATATATAGGTATAATAATTGCTTTTTCCCAAATCACAGGGACACGTGAATTCCAGCTATAATTATAAAGTTCCAGTAGTGCAGAGAGCACATTATTATCAAGATGTTTCAAAAATTTCAGTTGGACATTATCAGGTCCAGGGCTCCTCCCACACTTTGCACCTCTAGTAGCTTCTTTAAGTTTCAATGAAAAACCTTATGTCCAAGTGATTAGGATGAGGCAAAATTGCAAATTTTCCATTGAAAGATCCTCTGCATGGTCTTGAAATCCTTTCTGAAATGTTGTATCAAGGAGAATAAAAAGAGTTAAAAGCCTTGGAAATATTCTTGTCATTAGTTAAAACACGACTACTGACACTCAGAGGTTCTCTGGGAGGCATATTTGTCTTCTTCTGTAACTTGTTCATAAAATTAAAATCCCTTTTACCATCCTTCCTATAATCAATTTTTGATATACAATTACTGAAAGAATATATTTTTACAGAATTATTATTATTATTATTATTTTTACAAAAGCAGCATTTCTTCTCCAATATTGAATTTATCCTCGGGCAGTAAAAGTTTTCTCTTTAAGAATAGCAAGATTTTTGTTCCAAAAGGGCTCATAGCTAAATTGCTTACCTCTAAGAATTCATTTTTTTTTTTTTTACGAAACGAGAGATGATATTTAGAAGTCTGACGAAGGCCTTATCAGTGCTCTTGCTAATTTTACAGAAACCGAAAATTCAAAAGATAGACTCAAGTTCTAGAGAAAAACTCTTCCATTTAGGATTAGAAAAATTCCACCTGTTTCTAAAAATTTTCTTTGGAGACTTATTTGTGAAGAAGTTGAACACAGTAACAGTCATACTATGAACCAAGCCAGGATAATAAATAACTTTTCTCTCAGTGTCTGCAGAGGCCATTGTCAAATCTGGATTGGTACCATTGCCAAAGAGGTTGTAGCAATTGACTTATTAAATGAAAACTCCAGTTTATCAGACATATATATATATACATATATATATATATAATATAGATATATATATATATATATATATATATATATATATCATATTGCATCACCTTTTCAACAGAATTGGAATAATAATAATCTAGATCTGGCTATGGGGATTTAAATCTCTGCATAAAATAGTTTTACTAGAGAAATTCAGGAGGCCAAAGTCAAGTCTTCTAGTTTACCAGCTGGACTATAACAACCATAAATTTTAAAATGCTCCTTCATAAGTTCACTTGGACTAGTGCAAGTAATGTTTATTGCTGTTATAAATCCATGGTATTAATATTTCATTGGTTTAAGATAAATGTGTTGAATTGATTTAAAATTTTTATATCTTTTTTAATGGCCACCCTTATTTTATCATTAAACAAGTGACTTGAGTAATTGACATAGAGGTAGGAAGTAAGAGAAGAGGCCTTAACTGTTTTTCCTCATACACTACTTTGAAGCACTGGCTATCCCTTCATGGAGACCAAAACATTCAGTGACCACCATTAAGATCAATGGGTTTTGACATGATTGGATCTAAACATTTTGTAATTATGTCATAAATATAGATATAAATGTATATGTATTTTCACCCTGGATGGTAAAATGGTTATTGGAAATTGACTGTTGATCTAAACTCCAGGCTGTGGGTTTAAATCCCCACTCTGAGACCCAGCCTTACTCCAAGGTAAAAGGTTTGATTGTGTGTTGCTTTCCCCTTCATGTAGGCATAATATGGTCTATGCCCTTAGTTGCATTTTAGGCAATGTTCTTGATGATAAGATGACTAAATGACTGATGTATTTAATGGTTCCTGACAGATACGTGAGGTACAAATATGTAGCCATTTGAAAAATAAATGATGGATGGTTAAGAGTTTTATGTTTTGATTTAAATATATGTGTGTTGTAGCATCAGGCAGACTAAATAGTCTGTGAGCAAATACATTTAAATAATATATTTGCTCACAGACTATGTGTTCCCTTCCTACACAAAGAAGACCATAAAGCAATTCACAATATACCCTCTCGTAAAAACAGTTACTTGCACTTAGCAGTATCTCTTTGGAAAATTTGACTCTATGCCATCTCTTACCAAAACATTTATAATGCCATGATGGAATTTTCAACGTATTAGACATTTTATTGTTTTTAATCTATTTATGTGAAATAATGTGAAAATAAATGATGGATGGTTAAGAGTTTTCTGTTTTGATTTAAATATATGTGTGTTGTAGCATCAGGCAGACTAATAGTCTGTGAGCAATACATTTAAATAATATATTTGCTCACAGACTATGTGTTCCCTTCCTACACAAAGAAGACCATAAAGCAATTCACAATATACCTCTCGTAAAAACAGTTACTTGCACTTAGCAGTATCTCTTTGGAAAAATTTGACTCTATGCCATCTCTTACCAAAACATTTATAATGCCATGATGGAATTTTCAACGTATTAGACATTTTATTGTTTTTAATCTATTTATGTGAAATAATGTGAAAAATAAATGATGGATGGTTAAGAGTTTTATGTTTTGATTTAAATATATGTGTGTTGTAGCATCAGGCAGACTAAATAGTCTGTGAGCAAATACATTTAAATAATATATTTGCTCACAGACTATGTGTTCCCTTCCTACACAAAGAAGACCATAAAGCAATTCACAATATACCTCTCGTAAAAACAGTTACTTGCACTTAGCAGTATCTCTTTGGAAAAATTTGACTCTATGCCATCTCTTACCAAAACAATCATAATGCCATGATGGAATTTTCAACGTATTAGACATTTTATTGTTTTTAATCTATTTATGTGAATTATTTTTGCTCGTGAAAGAAAGTATTTAAAATTTCTGTACTGATTTTAGAAGTTATTTAACAGCAAAATTAAAATACTAAGTGCTTCTTTCCTATATATGTATTACATAATATAATTATGTTTTGAAATAAAGGGACTTACATTGCTTTTACATAGCTCAAATAGATGTATACATAATCCACAGATAATTTTGAAAAATAGTTTTACTAGAGAAATTCAGGAGTTAAAATTAAAATTAAATTAATTTTAACTCTTGAATTTCTCTTAATCATTAATTATTAAAAGTAGGAACATTAAAATACTGAGCATTTGTTTTAGAGTTTAGCCAAATATTTGTTAAGAAAATGCATACTTTAAAAAGAAATGAGAAATTAAGAAAGGGGAAAACCCAATAAAAAGTCAGATGATGTGAGATAGGCCAAATCAAAAGAACTGTGATTTTCTTTAAAGCAGACTTTTTTTTTAATTAATTGAGAGGTTAAATTAAAATTTAAGTTATATGTAAAAAATTGTATTTTTCAAGTGTTGTTAAACATCTGTTGAATTTGTGTTTATAAATCATTCTGTAAAAGTGTATAATTTGTATATGTTATTCGTATGTAGCAATGATATTTGTGCAATTAGATAATTAATATATTTAACCCTCTAAAGCCATACATATATACAGCCTACAATAATATTTGTGATATCTGTAAGAACGTATATATACGTGAATATTAAAATATATCAAAGAAATTAGAGCGATATATCAAAAGAAAACAAATCCAGGTATGAAATACTAGAAGAGTTTTTACATTGAAATGAAAAAAAAAAAAAAAAAAATTTTCTCATAGTAGTTTTGGGAAATTTGTGCTATCTTAGCGAAAACTCTGGCTGCTCAAAGGGTTAAATACTACTGCAGCTGAATGGTATATAAAAAAGATCATTCTAAAAATGTGACAATACATTCAATTGTAAAAAATTGTATTTTTCAAGTGTTGTTAAACATCTGTTGAATTTTTGTTTATAAATCATTTTGTAAAAGTTTATAATTTTTATATGTTATTTGTATGTAGCGATGATATTTGTGCAATTAGATAATTAATATATTTAAATACTGCTGCAGCTGAATGGTATATAAAAAAGATTATTCTAAAAATGTAAGAATAATTCAACTCTGAGGTTTAAATTTAAAAGCATTTTCTTTTTCCCAGCCGATTTAGATAGCACTTGAAATTGGAGGGGAAAAGGGAGAAGTTGATTTTTAATACATTTTGAGAATATTAATTACATAGTTTGTTCATATCATTTAAGAAAATCGCTAGAAATCTAAACTTAAGCAGTCCTAAAATATTGGTAATTTCTTTTAATTTATTCATGTTTACTGCATTTTTATCTAGTGTATAATGAAAAAGTTTAATTTAAATCTTTTCGTTGAAGCTGACATGGAGTGTTTATAATAAGGTACTATCAACACCTCTCTCAGCTTGAAGTGTAGCATTAAATGCTCTGTGCAACTTGAAATTTAGCGAAAAGAAGCTATCTTCATTCAGTTTTACTTAGTTTAAAACGTTCTTTTTAGATTAAGTTTAAAATGCTCTTTTACTTGACATTTAGCTTAAACTTTTTCCTTGAAAATGCTTTTAAAATTAGCTTCCTGTTATTTTGCAGATTTGGATTGTGGTTGCATAACTACATTTTTGTGAGCAACTTTCAAATTTGATTTCACATTAAAAGCCAACTGCTAATATTTCAACACTTTACCAGCATTTCTGTTTTACACACACACACATTTGCATATATATATATATATATATATATATATATATTTTCTTTCTTAAACCAGGTTGAAGATAGACCATCTGTAGTTCTTCTAGTTGCTGGATTGAAAAGGGATGCCCAAAGTTTAATCATGGAGGTAAAAATTTTGAAATTTATTAAAGAGGAGATTATCACACTTTAGTTAATGAATAGCTTTGTTATAATTTTGTTTTAAAGCTTAGAAGGCATAAAATTATACTGATTTAATTTAATCCTAATTTGTATAATTTTCTCTGGTATTTTCCAATTATCCTCATCCTCACCCAAAAGTTGTGAACTCGTTACCAACTTTGAAGAGCATTCACAGACTTGTTCATTAAATTTTCTCAAAGCTGATACATTAAGGCAGCAGCCATTTTCAGAGTGGTGTTATTACTAAAATTTCCATTAAAAGAAGCTATATCAATAAAATTTTAAAAAATCGGGAAGCATTAGTAATAAAACTCTTACCTGTTTCATGTTTTAAGAAATATTTTTTTAAACATTGCTGTTTTCCCCATGTATACAGTGACCTGTTTTCACTGTAAAGAAACAAATTACACAAATTTGGCATCTGTAAACAAATTTGCAGAGTTGCCAACTCTCCCGATTTAGGCAGGAGACTCCCGATTTTCGACCGCTATCCCGCCAACCCGATTTACAATATATTTCTCCCGACTTTTTCTTATTCTTAATATTTCTCACGATTTTTATGGAACTTGGCTTAATACTTCGTTATATGAACAAAAAAAAAAAAGGGGGGGAGGTGATTTTGGACGTCTGAAAGCAACTGAATTTTCTCTAGATTATATCTAAAATGAAACCTTGTGAATCAGATGAGAATTTCTGCTTTGTGATTGACAGCATACGTATCCAGAAACGTCGTTCTCCAGTTGTCCAATGGGCATCGAGCTCTACTGCGTGTCATCTGGCATATATTAGCCAATGAGCACAAAGAAAGCTCAAGGCCTTTGGCTGTTCTTTGGATGTTCTTTCGCTATTTCGTTCTTGTCCTGAGTTGTGTGAGTACACGTGCCTTTAGGAAATAGTTTTAGAAATTATCGTCTTTTGATATGTCTGCGAGAAAGGTGAAATACTCATGCACATTTCAAAAATCGTACACAGTTGACATTCCTTCCATTATTTCCTTTTTAAAATTTATTATTTTAAAAATATTTATTTTAAAAAGTTTTGCTGATATTACAGTGAGTAAATTAATTAGAGCAAAGTGATTTTTTTTTAAAAGTTAAGAATATACCTTCATATACAGTTATAATAATAAATTTAATAGGAAATATGCTCTCTTTTAATACAAATGATCTCTATAATGTGCTTAGGCATTAACTGTAATAGTCTTGTGCATATATATTCTAATTCTTTATCGTAGAACCACTCTTTATAGCATTCTTAATCATGCACTCTTTTGCTATACAATCCATCTTGCTGAGATGTTTTCTTGAGAATTTGCCTGAAAATTCACTGAATTCACTGAAAGCAGTTGAATTTCTCTAGATTATATCTGAAACAAAACCTTGCGAATAAGATGAGAATTTCTGCTTTGTTAGTGAGAGCATTCATGTCCAGAAACGTCGTTCTCCAGTTCTCCAATGAGCATCGAGCTCCTCTGCGTGTCATCTGGCATATATTAGCCAATGAGCACAAAGCAAGCTCAAGGCTGTTATTTGGATGTTCTTTAGTTATTTCGTTCATCTTGTCCTCAGTTGTGTGCATACACGTGCCTTCGGGAAATAGTTTTAGAAATCATCATCTTTTTTTATGTCTGCAAGAAAGGTGAAATACTCATGCACATTTCAAAAATCGTACACAGTTGACATTCCTTCCATTATTTCCTCAAGGAAATGTAATAAATTTGCGATGTGTACCATCTGTCGTTGTGATTTTTCAATTTCATGGTGGAAGGGCGAATGTGCTCAAACATTTGCGTACACAAAAACACAAGGACAACATGAATTGTTTTGAAAAAAACAAAAAATCAAATTTTTCTTTGGAAACAAAGGACCAAAAAGTGATTAATGCAGAATGTCTGTTCTCTGCCTTTTTACTGAAGCACAACCTGCCACTGAATGCATTGGATCACGCTGCAGCTTTATTTAGAAAAATGTTTCCCGATAGTGAAATCGCTAAGAAATACTCAAGTGCAAGGACCAAAACAGGTGCAATTGTTAAAGAAATGGGTTTGAAAAATAAATCTTCAATTATTGATTTCATTAAAACAGCTCCATTCTGTCTCTCTACGGAAACAATAATACCGATTCAAAACTGTAACCAATTATTGTTCCTTTTTTTAATCCAGTCTTCAGAAATTGAGTGCAGTTTACTTTCTGTCCCCACTTTAGAAGGACATTCGACAGTCTTTAATATAGCACAGCTAACTATTAAAACTTTAAAAGAAAATGCGGTTCCTCTGGATAATTGTGTAGCACTTGGTGCCAATAATGCACCAGTAATGGTAGGCATGAAGACTGTTGTTGCAGGCATCTTAAGAAAGGAAAATTCAGATTTGAAAATTATGAGGTTCACCTGTCACCTCTTAAATTTAACAGCTGAAAAGGGGCAGCTTCCTTACCAATAAATGTGGATGAACACATTGTTGATATTTATTATTATCTTGAAAGGAGTTCTAAAAGGAAGGAAAAATTGAAACAGTTCCAACAGCTGCATAATACTGAAATGAGAAAAATTTTGAAACGTGTGTACACACTGGCTGTCTTTAAAGAAATACTTATTAGAATCTTTGATCAATGGAACCCACTTCTTGCATTTTTTAAAGAAGAAGTAAATGCTTCGAGAATTAAGACAAAAGACTATTGAAAATTATAAAGTACCTAAAGTAAATGGAGATGTAGTTACTACTTCCATTGTTAAAAATAGGTTTGAGAAAAATAAAGTAATTTCTTTCTTTGTTTCTTTTTTTAATCCAGAGTCTTCAGAAATTGAGTGCAGTTTACTTTCTGTCCCCACTTTAGAAGGACATTCGACAGGCTTTAATATAGCACAGCTAATTATTAAAACTTTAAAATAAAATGCAGTCCCTCTGGATAATTGCTTAGCGCTTGGTGCCGATAATGCACCAGTAATGGTAGGCTTGAAAACTGACGTTGCAGGCATCTTAAGAAAGGCAAATTCAGATTTGCAGATTATGAGGTGCACCTGTCACCTCTTAAATTTAGCAGCTGAAAAAGGGGCAGATTCTTTACCATTAAATGTGGATGAACACATTGTTGATATTTATTATTATCTTGAAAGGAGTTCTAAAAGAAAGGAAAAATTGAAACAGTTCCAACAGCTGCATAATACTGAAATGAGAAAAATTTTAATTTTTTGTAATTTCTGCATCATTCAGCAATTTAACTGGCAGTTCTCAAAATAATACTGCAAAATATAAGCGTAAAGCTGATACAAATTTCTCTCAAAATAAAAAAAAAAAAAAAAAAAAAAAAAATTGCTCAACACACGAAACATTTTCCGATTACTGTAAGTTTATCTTGTGAAGAACGAATATTTATGTTTTTTTCTTCGGACCTTAACAAAGCTTTTTGCTTTTTTTTTTTACAATTCATTTTGCCATCATTTGATGTTCTGAACACAATTATACAAAGCAGAATTCCATTAATTCATGTTTTGCTAATCAATGATTTATGATCTGTTTAAAGACATTTTATCAAAGTTTGTAAAACCAGTCTGTGTTTCATGTCTTGTAATTCTATATATGATGTGATTTATGGTGAAACAGAAAATCAGAAGGTAAAGATGAAGATTTGGTAATAGGAGCTGCAACTACAAAAGTAACAGAAGAACTTTCAGAGGAAGACAAAATAAGTTTTATCTTCCATGTTAGAAGTTACTTCTTTCGAGTATGTGATTACACACTACATAAATTTCCAGTCAACGAATGAAGTGATTTTGCATGCTAAAGTTGCTGATGTTTCTGCTCTAGCAAATGCATCTTTTTTTGATATAAGGTACTTTTTTGAACAGATTTCCTGTGTTACTACTTCGTTTAGTCATGAAAGATGATGATATTGATGTTGCTACTGATATACTGCAGTCACAATTTTGCAGTTTACAATTAGAAAACTTGGATGAAGTTATAAAATCAGCTAGGATTGACACCCAAGTGGAGGATAATTGGAAAATTGAAAGGTGCTGATGGAATTTTAAAATATAGTGAACTCTCTAGAATTATGTTGGCCATCTTGACAGTTCCCCATAGTAATGCAGTGTGAGAGGATTTTCAGTGTTGTTGTGAAAACAAGGACTAAATTTAGATCTAATATTAGTGATGACACATTAGAAAAACTTTTATTAGCGAAAGCAGGCCTACGTGGCAATTGCTATGAACAAAATTATGAAGTTTCTTTCTTAACGAGAGCAAAATCTGCCACTGTCCATAACATTTGTATGAAAACTGATTAAAGTGCCTTTTTTTTTTTTTTTTTTTTTTTTTTTTTTGTTTTTAAAAACGATGAAAGTAATAAAAATGTTTTTTATGTCTAAGGTATTTTTGTTTTGCTTGCATTTAAGACTTAGTAACTATTTAAAAGTTAATTCATTATTAAAAACTATATTTTTATCATTTAAAAAGTCTTTTTAACATTGTGAAAAGTCTCCTGATTTTTGAGTGTCATAGGTTGGCAAGTATGAATTTGGCATCTGTATTTGGCATAGTACAGCAGTCCAAATCAAACATGTATACAAGCATACCCGGGTTGCAACAAAAATACTTCTTGGCGACATTATGTTTAGCCACGCAACTCTTTTGGCAATATAATGCTTTGCCTCACGAATACTTTATCATGATGGTAGAGATGCAGATAATCATAAAATATCTTTTCAACCCATTTTATCACTTTTTAAAATGCATCATAAATTGTACCTATTTTGATATTTTGCAGCTTAATTATTCTCTTTGAGTTATGAGAAATCTGTTTTAGAAAAAATATAGTAGTAAAAAAAAAAAATTTTTTTTTTTTTTTTTTTTTTTTAAATTAAGAGACAGTTTTCAGGGAGACAGTTCTATAAAAGTACCTAAATATTATCTGTTAGCTTAAAAGTCACTTTTTTTAAATTTGAAAAGAACATTTTTCATTTTATTTA